GGTCGCAACGGCATAGAGGTCCTGCGGAACTTCGAACCAGTGAGTCTGTCCACAAGGGCCTCTGGCCCACCTTACGCGACGGAGTCCGGCCTCGATATCTCTAAAATAGATGTACTCGTACAATTCAGGGTGGTTGTCGACCTCCTTCGCAATGTTTTCTCTTGCATCTGCCCAGTACTTCTGATGACCATACATGTGACTCGCGATGACCCGAAATCCGCAGTTACCATCCGCATCCACATTCAGGTAACTCACTATGTAGTCCAACATATGCCAGGGGATACATTGCCACATTGAAAATCCAAATATATTTGTCGGTCTAAACTCTGCAATAAGTATCATAATAATTTCACGTCACAATTTATATAATCATATAAATACTTTAATTAACGCTCAGCCGTATTTAAAAAAAAAATGTATGACCTTCATCCCCTTGTGACTGTTGAGAAGACGAACTTGTCTGTCCACGCGAAGAATTAGTCGTACGGCTCGATTTCCGACCTCGCGATTTTTCGTTGTACTCAAAAGCAGATGGTTTACGCTTAGTTGAATTAGTTTTCTTGGGACGACCTAACGGGTTATCCTTAACCTCAGGTTCCGCATAATCCTGTAGGTCTGGGTAAAGATGACTGTACATGAACTGATTCACGTACCGCATCGTCGCGGGATCGCGGGTTTCAACCTCAGTCACAAGCGTCTGAAAGAACGCCGCATCTGACCATGCAGCGTTGCTCGCCTGACTCGGATGACCAGTCCCTACAAGTATACGATAAAAAAGTCAATGAATTAAAACAAATAATGTATTTTAATACAAATTATAAATAAAACATTAATTTTAAATTACCTGGCTCTAACATCTCGAGTGTTCTCCAGAACTGGTGAATCATTTCGAGAACAATCGGAACGTCGAAATCAGCTGCGTTACGGAGGAGACAGGCACAAGGAAGTCTATGAGTGAGCTGCAATACACAAACGCAACTAGTGTAAACATCGGTGTCCAACTTGTGCATCCTCGTAAGCTCAGCGTCCAATAAACTCAGACAGTAATGCGAGACCCTCAGTATCTCGCTCGCGAAACGGATTCCCTTATACCGTGTATTCTTCTTAGATCTCGAGGCCTCAAGCGCCGTCCTGATAATACGTTACATAACGTTAGATTATAATTAATTAATGCAGTAATATAATAACGCATTTAAAAATTGCAGTACGTACTTGATTTCAGTCACTTGATTATCGATATGCTTATTAATCTTCTGCCAAACCGTATCGAGCCCGCCGGTGGACGTCTGAAGCCACTCCTTCAACGCAGAGTGGGCACTCTCCACCCTACATGAAGTTGTGTTTCCAAAATGTGTCACTCGGTTGGTCCAAGCCTTCACAAACTTCTCGCGGTGCACTAACCATGTGCCCTCCACATACCGTATCACCTCTGGATTGTTCGAATATTTTGCGCGCAGCTCGGCAACGGCATCGTTGTAGGCATCGAACGTACTGGCCTCTGCAATCGCCTTCCACGTACTGTGCGTGAAAATCTCCGAGAATTTATTATTCTTCCCAAATAGTTGGTAGGTTTTGGCTTCCACATCCTTGTTGATGTGCCACGTGCAGAGTAAGTGGGCTGATTCAGGAAAATGCCTTTGAATAGGAGTGAGTAAACCCAACTCTCTGTCACTGACAACAACATAAGGATATACGCTTTGGCCTATCAGTAGTCTCAACTTCTCTAGAACTCAGTCGTAACTGGTCTCTTTCTCGTCCCTGATGAGGGCATACGCAATTAGGAAGTTCTGGTTGCACGGCGTCATCCAATCATCTCGACCAACGGCATCTTGTACCTGTGCAAATGTGACCAAGAAGACAAAAAATATAAGCACATAAAACTTAACTTAATCAAACACACTATTTAAGATTCATACTAATAAAGTATTTATAAAGTAACATACCTGTTGGTTTTATACGTGGAATCTATACCGACATACCAGTGATATGTCCAGAATAGATTGATCGACGCAGGATGGGCCATGAATATATGCGTCAATACTTTCGTGTTCGGATCGGATTCTACATAAACTGTATACTCGCTGCTCACGGCCAAATGCATAAGCTGAGAAGGAACGTCTCTACCGTCGGAACTCTCTCTCCGCAGCTTATCTCTAAAGTTATATGCCTGTCACCGATTACCGTTAATTATAATGATTATTATAATTTAAAAAAAAAATTTTATTATATTAATAAATAAAAAAGTATATTAATGCGATTAATTTGATAAAAAAATTATTAACTATCACAATAATAATACATTAGTAAATATAAATTATCATAATTAACTTAAAAAATTTAATTAAAACATATATTACAAGATATAAATATATATACCTGCCGCACATGAACGTTGTCTCCCGGATTCTTTTCCTTCAGCGCGGCCATAATTTTTTTCGGGGCCACCTGAGCGTCCGTCATGTCACGAACAATTCTCTTAGATGAAGCGCTGAGACCGCTCAACTGGCTATGACCCTCAGGATACACAGCAAATGCATGGTTATGGTAGTCTTTCTCTTCATTGCTACATCTACAGATCTTCCAGTATAGAACGCCGAACACCTTTTTTACTTTGATCTCAAAATTGCAGCCGCACTTATTCGTTTTTGTCCTTCTAAAATTTCCGCCTGTGCCTCTGTACCGTTCGCCTCTACGGCACTTCAAAAGTCTGACCGCTTTCTTTTTGTGGCTCGAAATAATTAATAGGAAACCATTCAGCATTGCCTGGTGTTTTGCAGCTTCAATAGCCTCCTGAGCACTATTATATAATGTACATGTATCGAAACGCAGACTGTAATCAACACCATCTCCTCCAAAATCTTCCCATGACTCCTGTTATATAGTACAATATTTATATTTTTAGAACATGTTAAATTAAGATAATTAATTCTACGATGTAACATAATAATTTGTAACTCGTAACATGATATTATCTAACGTTCAATTAATATAATTTGTAACTCCTAACACGATCACGATAATATCTAACGTCCAATTTATATTATAATAAACATGTAACACAATAATTTGTAACTCTTAACACGATACTATCTAACGTCAATTTATAACATAACTAAAACTAATATGTAATTAATAATTTCTAACTCGTAACACGATAATATCTAAACTTCAAATATATATTATAATCAACATGTAACATAATAATTTGTAACTCCTAACACGATAAACGTCCAATTTATAGCATAATCAAGTCTAAAATGTAACATAATAATTTATAACATAATAATATAGTCCAATTTATAACATAACTATTTCGAATAAATAACATAAAAATTAAAAAAAAAAATGCCGGCCGGCCGGCCGAACCGGTTCCGACCGGCCGTCGTTTTCGGACGGCTTTTTAGCCGTCCGACCGGCCGTACTTTCCGGACAGCTTTTAGCTCGTCCGGACCAGCCGGCCGGACGGCTTAAAAACCGTCCGGTTCCGGCGGCCGGACGGGCTGAAAGCCGTCCGGAACCGGCGGCCGAACACCTATTTTTTCGTACCTCCGAATTTGACGACATTTCACCGTACACTTTCCTCTGAGATGTTTAGAAAAAATGAGAAGGACAAAATTGTCCAAGGGGGCAGTGACTAGTAAAATGGGGGGCGGTGAATAGTAACGCCCAAAAAAAATCTAGTCATTTTAGGGGTAAAAAGTACAATTATATCCTTATTAATGTTTACCTATCAAAAATAAAAATAAAAAAACAAAAAAAAAATAAAGAGAAAAAAGAGTCAGATATCCTCCTGCGCGCACATCTTCTCTCTTCTTCCCTGCGCGCACATCGGCTATCCTCCTCCATCGTCCCCCCATTCATCATCTCCATTGGCCCCATGAACGGCGGATTCAAGCGGCGACCAAGCGAAAGGCAGCTTCTTCTGGTAGTGATGGCTTAGCCTTATTCTCATCATTTAATCTTTTTTATTCTATAGACACACATCTATGGTTATTTTTTATTTGAAGAATTTGAGTATAAATTTTTTAATTAAGATTCGTATAATCACATGTGGGTGTTGTACATTAGCTGAGCATTTGGGGTGTGAGGAGACCTACTCCGGGCACGATAGTTTTCAGCTCTTCCACCATTCTCAAGGCCAAAGTTCCGCCCGTAAGGTGTTCGACGAAATTCCTGAAAGAGTTTCAACTCCAAAATGGGGCGAAAACGAGCAACTCGGGCCAAAGCAAAAGCTGCGAACCGCGGGAACTTCAACGACTGGCAAGCGGAAGGCGAGGGATCCTCATCTCAAGAAGTCCGGGGTGAACCGACGGATCTCCGGGCTGTTTATAATGCCCCCTGTGCTATATTTTCAGAAAGAGAATGGGAGACCTATCACCTCTCGCAAAAGAAGATGGTCAAACCGAAGTCGTTTGCGAGGGCCGACCTCAATGTGGTCAGTTGAATCTTTTTGAAACCAATGGAAGTTCCTAATTTGGTAGCTGTTGATTTTATTATTTTTTATTAATTGCATTTTTGTTGTCGGGGCTGCTCATGTGGAGCTGTATTCTTTTTTAAGTTTGATTTTCTCAAATTTGATAATTTGTTACCAGAGATTAGAGATGGAAAACTCTACTTGTTTTTTCCTTTCCTTATTTTTTCCCTGATTACCATAGGTGTGATATGATGTTTAGATAGATGCTATGAATTTCTTTGTGATGTCTCTACTTTATCCTTCATCATCTTTATTTTGCCACAAATGTTTTGATTCTATTAGTTTTTTTGAGTTGTGTGCAAACTGATACCAATCTTTAGATTCATGATTATCAGCTCTGATTTATGTTATTTTTTTTTCAGGCTATAGTCACAAAATGTTCTAATTTTATCAGCGACGCCGACGGTGGCGTCAGAAGCGGCGGCGCTGGATCCGGGTTAATTAGGTATATGAAGACGACGGCCTCGTGAACATTGCGCTTGAGCGCGGTTGCTAGGTCGTACAATTTTAGCTCTTTTCTCTTGATCTATTCAATTGCTTCTTGGTTTTGGATGACGATTGTGGAGAGTATGGCGAAAGAGGTCCAGACAACACGATCCTCTTTGGAGGTGGAGATGGCGGTCAAGAGCTGGTCTAGGATGATGTCCTTTAGCAGAGAGTATTTGAGCCCGGGCTTTGAGTTGAGCATCTCGTATATCGATTTCAAGTCGATTGTGTGGTCTTCACCGTTTGCAAAGCATAATTTCGAGATGAGTTTGTTGATAAGGGCATTTTGGTGCTCGATGGCCGTGTTTTCCTCTTGCAGGGAGTGACGGAGATTAGGGCGACAGCTCAAGCTTTTTCAGATCGTTAGGGAATTTTTATGCCTTTTTGAGATGAGTTGCTGGTGTTTTGAAATTGTTAAGGGGTTTTGTTAGGATTGTAAGTCTCTGGTGAATTGATCTTTGAAAATTTTAGGTTTTTTTCTTGCACTATTGATATTGGTTTCTTGGAAAAATTGCATTTTTAGGTGAAAAATGTGATCCTTCGCAATAGAATTTGCTCCACTTCAATTCAAAGTTTAGCCTTTTTNAAGTTTAGCCTTATTTTTTGTTTGTACTTTTATTATGAGTTGAGCATTGTTTTGTTTTGTTAGGGGTAGAAGTTGACAATTCTTGGTTTTAATTTAAACACCAATATTACAGAAAAATTCTTATTAGTATTCATAAGTATTTTGTTTGTTGAAATGCATTTAGATTATAAAAAAAATTAAAACACTAACAAACTGAGTATAAAATTCAGTTCATATATTTGCACATTCATGTTTCTGCTCAAGAAACCTGTTTCATGAACAAGAAACAGGTTTCTTGAGGAAGAAACTGGTTTCTTGAAACAGGTTTCTTGAGCTCAAGAAACAGCTCAAGAAACCTGTTTCTTCTTTCAAGAAATATGTTTCTTGCTCAGGTTTCTTGAGGAAGAAACTGGTTTCTTGAGCTTAAAAAACTTGTTTCTTGTTCAACAAACATGTTTCTTGCTCAAGAAACGTTTTATGTTTCTTGCTCAAGAAACATGTTTCTTGTTTCTTGCTCCGCAATTCAANTCAATTTAAACACCAACATTACAGGAAAATTCTTACTAGTATTCATAAGTATTTTGTTTGTTGAAATGCATTTACATTATAAAAAAAAAAAAAATTAAAACACTAACAAAATGAACAAAAATATCAGTTCATATATTTGCACATTTCCAAAATGAACAGACAAGCAAAAACTATGGGGTTAGAGCAAGCAAAAAGTAACAAGACAAAGCTCTATCCTCCACATCTAGCAAAAACAAAAGGACCAAAAGACCAAATGTTTCCAAGTATACAATGCAAAAACTGTAGGTATCAAAGAACATCATCCCAATTATATACAACTGATAGAATTGAAGCTTTAAAACAACTAGAAACCAAAAACGAGATCATAAACAACACAACATTAATTTGAGAAAATGAGAACAACGAGTTGAAATAATGACTCCATCGCCGTCTTTTCTCAGGAGACGACCATTTCTCCATTTTTCCCAAAACAGAGCCCTTTTTTCAAGTCCGGGTCAACGAATTCCTGAACAAAAGGTTGAAATAATGCATCGTCGAGTACCATCCCCGAGTCCATTTTCACCACGTTCAAGTTCCTCGAGCAATCTAAAATTTCTAGGTACTGCAAAATGCAAAGAGATTAATCACACATCTTCATAAGTAGAAACACACTAAATCTCTAATAACATGTGAAACACATCTTCAAAATCGATACCACGTTATTTATATAGAAACTTGTGTTATTAAACGAATTACACGATTTACAACAAGTAGTTATACTATAAATATTTTTTTATTAATATTAATTAATTTTTATCATATTTTCTTTAATAGTAAATTAACATATTTAATTATAAAACTAAAGTTACTATTTTAAATTATTTCATCAAACATCTCACAATATATAATATATGTAACAATATATAATAAATTTTCAAAGGCTCCCGAGCCAAAATTCCATTGATATAACAAATTGCAATCACACCTTAATGTTTTGCTATGGAACAATTAGATGGCTCGACTTATTGAATCATCCACACTTATTCACCAATAGTGTATTGACACGTGTCTTGCAATAAATACAATTTGAACAGAAGTTAATACATTAAGTGGTGGATGACACCATCCCCTCCATATAATTTTTGTCACAACTTTAAGGATATGTTTGGTTCAACTGAGGGGAGGGGAGGGGAGGAATTTTAATGGAAGGAAGGAGAGGGAGGGGAGGTGAAGTAAAATAATTTTACCTTGTTTGGAGGAATTTTGTAGGAGGGGAGTGGAGGGAAAATGGTAAACTTTGTTTGGTTAGAATAAGGGAGGGGAAAAAAATAATAGAAATGACAATTGTATCCTTAATGATGTAAGAAACAAAATAATAAAATAATTTACATATAAATAATAATATAGTAATTGTATGTGATAAATTTTCCCTCCCGTCCAAATTCCTCCACTTTTGGAAGGGAAGAGATTTTTCCTTAGAGGAGGAATTTGAAGGGAAAATATCAACTCCTCCCCCTAACAAAATTGAATCAAATAAGGGAAAATTATAAAATTCCCTCCCCTCCTCTCACTTTCCCCCGAAACGAACACTGTGTAAGTCCTTTTCGTACAATATTTTTCTGTTCAAACTCTCCGTGTTTTTGTTAATGAATGCTTCGATTTCTCTCTCTCTCTCTCTTGGTGGTGTAGATTTTAGAATTTGATTTGTGAGTGAACCGTTTTGCTATCAATCGTAAGGATAAAGAAATGGATGCCAAGGCAATGGATGCGGAGGTTGGAAGGATCAACGAAGAGGGCAAGAATTTGGGAAAGATGGACGCAGAGCCCTTCAACGAAGAGGGTAAGAATTTGGGAACGATGGATGCAGAGGGTGGAGAGTTCAACGAAGAGGACAAGAATTTGGGAGATAAAAATGATGATGATGAGGATAGTGATAGTGATGATTCTCTCGGTGACGTTATTTCGGATGAGGATCTAATCGTAAGGATGATTCTAATTTGGTCAATTTTGATATTCTCGATGTGGGTTGATCTTTTGTCCGGTGGTTCTTTACTTATTGTAGTAGTTCTTTTTGCAGTGTAGGTCGGAAGCTCGAAATATTTTTGAGGTATGAGCATCAACTTCTTTTCCGTTCCTCTGTTAGTAAAGGCAACACTAATTAACTTAATGATAGCGCATTGAAACCTACTGCTGCTGCTAATTTTATGGAATCAAATGTCAATAAACATGTGGAGACGAAAAAGGATTCCCATTGATTGGTAGTTCACTCTGCAATTGGATTATTGCTTTAGAATGAGTACTGCAATGCAAGGTTAATTAATGTGCGTAGGAGAAACTATGAGGCCACGGTGAGAAGGGTAGAAACACTAGAAGAACGCACATTAAAAGGGGGAGGGATAGACCTAAGAAAAATTGGAAGGAGACAATAAAGAATGATTTAAAATATTTAAACTTGAATGGGGATGTGTGTTTTGATCTAGCACGATGGTGACATGCGATCCATATAGCGGACCCCACGTAGTGGGATTTTAACGGCTTGATTGATTGATGATTGATTTGTAAACGCTATTCTGATTAGCACTTCCAATAGAAAGCTTTTCTTGTTATGAATTGTAAGGGCACACGAACAGTCTATTTCTTGAGATATGTGTGTAGTTCCTGATTTTTCCATTGTTTAATCTTTGTTGGCAATATACATTTGGTAGTATGTATGTGTATGCAGTCGTCGATTAGTAAAAGCTGCTGCAGGCTAGTATTTCACTTAGAAAGGTGATGTTCATCTGTTTATCAATTGAAATTACAAATACACGCTGCTTGAACTCTGGCCTTAACTTTTGGATTTCGTGCCATTAATTCTTATATTTTTCCCTACTTACTCACTCACTGTTCTCTACTGAGTTCACTTCCGTGCACCACAGGTGATCTTCGACCTAATTACTGTTTAGTGGACATTAAAACAGTTTAAAATTTTCAACTGGCAAATTGTACTTGTTTGTAGCATCCAAATTTCTGGAGCGTTTCTTCGAGACTGGAAGGAGAAGATCTGCTTGTAGAACATTTTGAAAACATTATAAAGATTCTTAAAAGAGAAAATATTACCAGTGTTGATGCTGATGAATTTACCAATGTGGTGAAGCAAGTGTTGGGGAATGATGCTTTTGTCGGCGAGTTGTATAAGGAATTAGAGGTATGTGTTATGTTGTTCCTTTTGGTTCTCACCAACACTAGAAAAATACGTGCATGATAGCAAATCAGTAAAAACAAAACCATTTCTTATTTTGCAGGACATGTGTTGCCGCGCCATGATGGCGGGTCGTTTGAGAAGAACTCAACATCGGGTCGATAAAAAAGAGACTACTGAAGAGCGAATGGGTCTTATCAGAAGTGATACCGGCTTTGCTCGTGTATCCGCAGGAGGAAATCGTGAGTTCATTATAAGGTTGTCTTTTACATTATATTAGCAATTCAGAGGTTTTCTTTTCAATGTCATGGCTGTTAAGAATAGTTTCACAAGCGTTGGTCATTCAAATTGAGAGATTTTTTTCTCTCTTTTGTGCAGGGGGGGCATGAGCATAATACTCGCATACTGTGTAAGTGTAAAGGAGCTGACGGAAATAGTCACAAGGTGTCGGGATGATGAGCAGCTCCGCATAAAGTATGGGTTGACGAGTTACTTAGAGATTTGAGCATTCTCAAAATTTTTCCTAATTGTCGACATTATTAGGATTTGGTGATCTTCTTCTTGTTGAGTAATGGATTTTGCGTGTAACTGTTCTAGACTACATGTGGCAGTGGTATTATGATTTTTAGAGCAAGAGCAACAAGATATACACCACATAAACATATAAACACACACACCTTAACACAGTTAAATAGCTTGGCATTCTTGTTCTCAGCTTCAGTGGCATACATGGCTGGTCTGTAAGGCACATCATACATGCATTTAAATCCCCAAAAAAAAAATCAGCAAAATTCTCCAATAAAAAAGGAAAAAAGAAAACGAAACAAGAAACCCACAAAATAAAAAGCAATAAAATGAAATGAATACTACTTATGTCTAGCTCGGCCCACTAGAAAAGCCATCCAGAATTCGAGAAAGGTGTAGAAAACAAGAACAAAAACCACATATCCATACTTCTTGGGCAACAGTTCGACTCCAGCCATGAATATAACTTCTGGTAACAGGGTGTTACCCAAAAGGAAATCATCCAAGAACACGAACATGTAATAATTAGCCCATCTTGCATGAACACAATAGGTGAAAACCTCCCTAGTTC